ACAGGAAGTCCGCAGTTATCCCGTTTCCTGGCTGTGCCGGAAGAAGGTTAATGCACTTTATTTTGAAAAGTTCCAGAAGAGTTCATACCGGAGTTTAATGTTGAAATCCATGGCTGGGTCCCAACAACATGATGATAATCTGGCCTACATACTATAAGATTATTATGATTCACCAACCTAATGAAATAGTCTGCAAAGTGCCTGTGATTAACCCAGAACAGGAAAGGCTCACAAAGGTGACATTTCTGCTGTCATAAAATCATTTGGGTGGCTGTCAGAAATCATCAGGCATCTCCTGGATGTCAAACTCACTCAATGATGAGGGGTTTTCATCCATCCAGGATTTTCTGCATCCATCAGACTCGTTCTCCAGGCTGGATTGTCCACCAGAATCGTCATTGGCCATGTTCATCAGTCTAACTAAAGCCTTTTCTACTATAACGTTTTTTTACACCTCTGCGTAACTTTCTTTCTTCTTTTATATTTTTAGATATAAAAGTAATAAAAAACTGACAAGCAAGCAAGAGTAGCCTGACCAAACACTGCTGGAGATGTTCTTTGACTGATACAGTAATTGTCAAATTTCCCATCCTGACGTTCTAGTTTTATCTTGCTGGGGAGAATCCAAATTGACCAGCGTAAAATTCAATGTGGTCAAAATGACAGCCTGTGGAAAAAATAGATAGAAATTATCGTATTTCATTTTTCCTTTGCTAACTAAATTTATAATCTACTTTTTATGAAAATGTACACAGTTTGAGGAAAAGTCAGGCACCAGCAAGGTTTCATGTATTTATTTGATAAAGTAATTAAACATACAAATTGCCATGGCCATTCTATTGTTAAATAATGTAGCAGACAGATGTATTATAATTTAAAAATAATATTAATATACATGACGTTTTCTATTTTCCATGGATGAGTCAATTAGGGCACATGAAAAGAAAACTGACAGGTGTAACTGACCATAAACACAGTGAATGCTTGGGATTGGAGCCATAGCTAGTAGTTATGGGGAGTCTAGGCCAGCATTAATGCCACATTCTGTGAAAGAGCATTCCCCGGGAATATACAGTACTGTGCAAAAGTTTTAGGCAGGTGTGAAAAACTCCTGTAAACAAAGAATGCTTTCAAAAATGGAAATGTTTATCATTTATTTTCATCAATCAACAAAATGCAATGAATGAAAATCTAAATCAAATCAATATTTGGTGTGACCACCCTTTGCCTTCAAAACAGCATCAATTCTTCTAGGTACACTTTGACACAATTTTTGAAGGAACTCGGCTGGTAGGTTGTTCCAGACATCTTGTGGAACTGACCACAGATCTTCTGTGGATGTAGACTTTCTCACATCCTTCTGTTTCTTCATGTTATCCCAGACACACTCCATGATGTTGCGATCAGGGCTCTGTGGGGGCCACGCCATCACTTCCAGTAAGTCTTGTTCTTCTTTATGCTAAAGATAGTTCTTATTGACTTTGGTTGTATGTTTGGGTTTGCTCACTTAGCATTTTGTAAATTGATAAAAATAAACAATCATCATGTATATTTCTGAAAGCATTTTTTGTTTACTGCATTTTTTCACACCTGCCTAAAACTTTTTCTCAGTACTGTATCTTTTTTTGTTTTCTGTAAATATGTGGAAAATAATTTTTCCTGACTTTTAACCAAAGTGATTTTGGAATCAATATGCAGACTTTAGGACACAGTCTTCATGTTTGCATGTCACTTTCTCTGATCACTATGGGACCATTTTGAACGTCACCTTTCCTGCTTACACTAGTTGTTCTTTCATCCCCTGGTACTTGATTTTCTTGTGCTCATTTCCAATTTTACTGTCAGCATGATTGCTGCATGTGACACCACAGCCCAGATAAATGGTGATTAACAAATAGAAAATGCCTTGAAAATGAGCTTATAATGGGAGTTAGAGACGTTGTTTGTAGCTATGTTGAGTCTGGGTCTGTGTTAATGCCACATTCTGTCTTATCATAGCATCAACAAAGATATAGTAACCCCTTGACACATATTAGTCTGTTTTATGTAGTGTTAGTAAGTCCGTGTTTGTCTTTTGGAGGAAACAATGCCCATTATTCTCGAGATTTATCTGTCAGGCTTTCAGTTTAAAAGACATGCAGCAGTCTCTGCAGACTGCAGGAGCCATTCTTCCAGTTTGGATCAAAAGTGGAACTTTATTTTTCAGTTTCATCCATGTGTTCCTTCACCACACTGTACATGATCTTGTTTTGTTCCTGATTTTCTGGTACTCACAAAACACCACTGTCTGACTGACTGGCAGCAACTACTTGTCTCTGTGAAACCTAAATCCCAAAGGACCTTTGATTCTCTTGGTTCTGACATTTTTGAAGATTCTAAACCACAATCAGCACAGATGTTCCTGAGCAATATCTGAGGCCCATGGCTACGCTTCGGAGAGTTTCTTATCACAGCCATCATCTTACTTCCAGCTACAATATACTGTATGCTGTGCACTCTCTGGCCTGTGCAGTCTTCACAAAGTTTGCACCTTGGGCTTACTATCTGCTGTTGTAGATACTTGCCTCTGCGGATATGGTGGTGAATGCCTGTTCCTATACAATGCCTATACAAAGTCTAATATCTGCCACAGTAATGTTGCTTCATGATATCTTAATTGTTCAACTATGGGGGACCCTCCAAATGGCATCTTTTCCCCTTATAGCCAATTTACAATTAACCCTAGATGAGGGGTTGGATATCAAATAATATGAGATTGTGATGGATTTGAATACCATGACAATCTGCCAAGCCAGAGAGAACAGGTATTCGGTATACTGTAATTAAAATGTTATTTCTTTGACTGTAAATTGAGTTTTTCAACACTATTCAGTCCTTGTTGAATTTTATTATTGCCATTCCACAATTCCCGCCTACTCAAGTAATGCTTTAAGCTTTTTCAACCACCAGAACCATCTTTTTTATACATAAAAAAGTAGTATTTTCTTTAGAAAATGAAGGATCTGCTATTACTGTTCATACACTGCACAGTGGAAGGCTCTCTATTGAAGATACAAGTTAGGTTGGATGTTGAGTGACCGAAGTACAGTACAGTTGTGGAAAAACATTCTTGGTCATTTTATACTTTTGCTGCAACATTTGTGTATAACTAAACTTTTTCAGATTTGGAAAAGGAACCTTCTTCTGTTACTGTTATGGTGGTAGCTCAATTGGAAGAGCATTTGTCTTGCAATCGGAAAGATGTGGGATCGATTTTTGCTTTCTCCCTTGTCACATGGTGATGTACTTCTGGCCAAGTGACTTAACCTCAAGTTGCCAACTAATATGTGTATCAGTGTATGAATGTGGGCCCATTTGTGAGGTCAATCTGGTCAATTTTGCTCTTGTGTAAATCTCTTTTGAGTAGTTGGTATGACAAGAAAAACACTATGTAACTCAGTCCAGTCAGTCCATTAACATTATTTAGATATTCATAAACCAGTCCTCACAAAACATAATAGAAGACCAAGATTATGATCTGTCTGAATTCAGCACCAGAACCCCCACAATAGAACTGACAAGGACAACTAACTGATCAGACATGGTGTGTAGGACTTTCACAGATGTAGCTTGCACTTCTTCTCATGTGCTCCCACACATCCATCGCTTTTGGATAAAGGGATAGTAACATATTTTTACTGGCCATTTGGTCAGCGCAGGCTTTCATACAGTAGGGGGAATTACCATCATGTCCTGGTGCAATCTGCTGGGTTTCCTTAGATAGAAAACATTTTAACCAGTTCTAACGATAAACTATTTGTTGTTGTTTTTGGAAAGTGCCTTGAGACGACATGTGTTGTGAATTAGCGCTCATAGGAATGATTACCCAAGGAATTAATTTTACAGTAAAATCTAGGAGAATGAGGGTACAAACCAACCAGGAACCTTTTAAAATCATTGTATTTTGTTTCACAAAATTGTCTTTGCACCAACATCACATGTATCGGAATATATCTACTAAACTACAATAGTGATGAGCACAAAAAAAAGGAAATGCAATTTTTTTAAGATATGCAATACAATCCATACACCAGTGAAATGATCAATTAAAGATCTCAACAATACATCCAGAGGGAATCCTGCTAACCTTTGCATTCTTACATGCTATCCTTGGAACATCTGTTGTAATATTTTTAATTGCAGTGCCTGTGTGAAGATGGCTTATTAGTGTGAAATTATTTATTTTTTTTTATCTGGCATGACCTTAACAATGTTTAGGGCCAATTCTTTAGTCATGTAACACAAAAGTATTTTCAATTAAAGTATGAAAATGAATGTCAGAAAAGTGAAGAACACAACAGGGGGTGTTAGGGTTAGGATTTGGCTGCATGAGGACAAGAGGTGTTGGCATGTACAAATGGCACCATCAGTGCCGCAGGGTGTATCACCTACTTGAACATGGGAGGTCTTAGTGGAAAATACTGGAGAAAGTGTTTATCAAAATGAAAGTCAGGGCTGTGTTTAGAATTCAAACTCAGGCATAAATTTAGACCTCTTTGTTTTACAAAAGTAAAATTAAAATTAAAAAGAGAGATCATATTTCTCCTATTTTAGCTTCCCTTCATTGGCTCCCTGTTAAATCCAGAATAGAATTTAAAATTCTCCTCCTCACATATAAAGCCCTTAATGATCTAGCTCCATCAT